TGTCAATCCGAAGACGAAGTTCAGAATGCTGTTATAGTTTCGTATATTGGATTTAAGCGATAGATTCAAGTCATTTATGATAGACTTTTTGCTGTGATGCTTTGCTATTGCTTTTGGTTTCCATTTCTAGTTTTATTTGTTCGATAGTCTTATAATATATAATATTAAAATGAATAAAGTTCAAATTCTTCAAAATGCTGTTGTTGACATTTGCTATTTTTAGTAATTTTGTCAACGAGTGTAAGCCAATCAGAAGCCTGCGTTTCTATACGAACGCCACTACCAAGAAAACCTATAGTTCCGTGCAGGCCCTCTATTCTTCGCGCCGCCCGTAACCCAGGGCCTGTTCGCAGGCTATTGTTGCATGTGATTAGCGTAGGCGTGGCCTTTAAAGTGATTCATAGTTTTGCATAACCTAGTAACAAATTCTAGCTAATATATGTTGTCGAACTGGAATGTAAAGTGATAAAGAAAGAGTAAGGGGAAACTGACAGGCCTCTTCAGATTGTGCTAGTAAATTTCAAAAACGTTTAAAAATTCCTGTATAATTCATAAGTCATTTTATTGTTTGTCAACTTGAGACCTTTATGATATTATGCATGCACTAATGAAGATTTGATGAAGTTTTGATAAAAATATCGCATATATATTAAGCGCGTAGTAGATATTCTTCGCAGAAAGGCACAAAAGGTGTCCTGCATGTATAGCTTTAGCTGAAAATCACAATTTTCCACGTTACCGTCTAAATTGTAGTTCATCGAGGGCCTGTTTTCCAGCCGCATTCAGCCATCTTCCAGTTGGTTCTTGTCTTCTAAAATACACATTTAAATGGTTAATATTTTGAGATTCTTTTCCGCATTACAGTACGCGCGGTTCCGAAATTATATCACAAGGATAAGGATTAAGGGCTAAGATTAGACGTGAAAGTGTAGCGTTTAAGAATTTCAAAAACGTTGCTACAAAAACTGCTAAAGTTCCTCAAAAGTTGCCAGAAAAGTGGAAAAGTTGCTCTTAAATTTCAAAAAGTTGCTAATAATTGCTGGTATTTTTCATGGATGTTCATGAAAAGCATACTAAAAACTGAGCAAGTACAATCTATTGTACTAGGTAAATAACAAGACAATTCGAATACAAGGTTTAGAGACAAGTAGATACTGTTAATCCATCAGATTATAACTGTAAAGTCGATATGTGCTGAACAGTGAACAGTCTCTAGCAACATTTCTTACATCCTGATTATAAAGTAAATACATTTGCGCTAATGAATTTCTTTTAGCGTTGTTCTGTCTGAGCGTCACTGAGGATTCAAGATAGACCGTAAGTGAGGAATCTTACTGGCCGTTGAATACATTGTTTAATTAATAGGCTGAAGACTCTTTCGGCAGAAGCTGAACTCGGTTGCAAGAGCAATTGTTTCTGAACCAAAACTGACCAATTCGGAAGTGTTTTATTAGCTATATGGGCTGCCAAACACGCCAACTTTTCATCTTCACTACTCCATAGATACACCATCTGTAGCAGCTAGATACTCCGGCAGCTCTCGCTTCAAACTTGCAATTATTTCGTCATTGTTCAAATATGTTAGTCGGGTCAAGATTTTGTTTTTTAATTCGTTAGGCATTATTAGGCAGCCATACCATAAATTGTGTCACTTTTTTTCGTGTGAAATGTGTAAAAGATTAAAAGTTGGTTACGGTTGCTCAATAAGGCAAAAGTTGCTTCAGGTTGTTCAAATCGTCAAAAGTTGCTCAAATCGTCAAAAGTTGCTCAAAAGTTGCCGAGCACAATCTGCAGAGGTCTAGTGAGACAGATTAGGCGTGCTTCAGGAAATATTCCTTCAAAAATTACTGAACTCTGGCCCGGCTAGGGCTCCCTGTGCAACTAACACTAACTCACATCATGTTACATGTTTAACCATTGTATTTTTCTTATATACGTTTTACATGTCATGAAAATAAGAAAAAAATCGTTTCTACAACTTATAATATTTTACATTTTTCGGGCATGCTCCCTGGAATAACATGTATGAGAAGATGAAAAAGATCTTTGCACCTCGACAATGCACATCAATGGTTTTTGATTCGCTAAAATACCATGTTTTCTTGTATATTATCACTAGATAGACATTTTCAGTAGCATCCGTGTTAAAAAATTCAATAACGGTTGAGCAATTGCGGTTAATTGTTCCTGTAACTCGTAAAACGACCAAGATGGCGCCATATGTGGGGAAAGGTGGCATATTGCACTTTGTCATATCTTCGAAACGAATTCGGGGTCGGCCCAACTTTTTTTCTGTTTTTATTGTGCGCATATCATAAACTTCACCCCTGCATGGGAAGTTTCAACAAATTCTCATTTCCATAACAATTACTGATGAATCACCTTAAGTGAAAAAAATCCGCGAAGTTGATATAAGTATAGGTAATCATGCCGATGGCGAGTACAATTAGGGATTAATAGTACGAGTGATGTTTGGAAATTTTGCCAAAATTGGACGAGCCGTCGAATTGGATACTTCTCAATGTCAACATCATATTGTCTCGCCAATGCCCAGTCCTGCCAGACTTTCAACCAAAATTTGGTGCTTTGTTCGTATTTTCATTTAGTTCTTTTGTTAAAGCAAAATTTGGTGCTTTTGTTCGTATTGTCATCTAGTTCTTCTGGGACAATTTCAAACACAAATGTGTTTTAAAAATACCTTTCTGCCATTTTGTTTGTTTTGGGAAAATCATTAATTGTACTGCAGTACAATTAATGAAATAATTGTACTCCTCTCAACCAATCATGCAGCATCCAGTAATTTTGTCATGCTAATAATAAATATATATAAATTCGATTTTCTCGATTAAATGTTTTCCGCAACTTCAGATTTTAAGCGTGTTATGCTGCGGTCAGTTTAAACAGGTTTTTCTGAGTTTGCACAGCAGACAGCTGAAAATCTCAGCTTCAAAGGTGCCAGGCTTTCTTTTAATTTTTGATATTTAGTGAATTGCGAGCGATTCATTCCAAAAAATCTGAAATATAACATAGGCTTCAAAGAAGTCGCTATATCAGACGAATGGCGAAATAAATAAAAAAATTCGGCACCATTTTATAGAACAACTATTTAGCTGGATATGAATGACATTTTTGAAAAAATATATTTTAATTAAAACCGGCAGGAGCATAACTCAGAGGCGTGAAGTTATTGCGCTTTTAAAAATTCCTGTATAATTTATAAATCATTTTATTGTTTGTCGACTTGAGACCCTTTTGACACTAATGAAGATTTGATGAAGTTTTGATAAAAAGCGCAGTAGAGATTCTTCGCAGAAAGGCACAAAAGGTGTCCTGCATGTAACCTTAACTGAATATCACAATTTTCCACGTTACCGTCTAAATTGTATTTCATCGAGGACCTGTTTTCCAGCCGCATTCAGCCATCTTCCAGTTGGTTCTTGTCTTCTAAAATACACATTTAACTCGTTAATATTTTGAGATTCTTTTCCGCATTACAGTACGCGCGGTTCCGAAATTAGTGTATATCACAAGGATAAGGGCTAAGATTAGACGTGAAAGTGTAGCGTTTAAGAATTTGGGATACAATAAATATATTATAATACTGTGTAGAAGGTGAAGTTATTAAATAAATAGGAGGGGGATTATATGCGAAGTACGAATCTTTTGTTCGTCCATATTGCCCTTCTCTACTACGGTAAGCCTGTAGAAAGGAAAGGGTTTGACGCATTGCATGTGGCCTATTAATTCGATACCTACATGTACCGAGCAGAGCTTGGCAAAGCCAGAAGCAAGAGACAGGCAGCTAAGCAGCCAATGGAGTTCATTTTGATTGTTGTTTTCAAATGAAGATATGTTCTGTCCTAAAAATAGAAAACAAGAATTAGTAAATTCACAAGCTTCAATGGGATTATGGGGACAAATTCACATTTTACCAAGGCGAAAATATGAATTTATTCCTGGAATCTAGCCCAGGTCAAACAGGTGAAAACATCGAAAAGCAAGCGTCATAACATCAATTCACTTAGGCATACCAAATTATTACTAATGATCAAAAGTGACTAAATTTTTAGCACCTCTTAAGACCTTCACTTGCACTGGAACGCAGCCTCGTATCGGTCTGTGCATAGATACGAACAGCACAGTAATTTATTTCCTTTTACATTCACACATCACTGAAGAGAGATATTGGTAGGTTTGGCTATTCAAGCACCTGTAGTGTCAAAGTACTTTAACCGTTTCCGAGTTGGTGCCATTTGTCTGCACTTTGACAGAGCATTGAGGCGATAAAACACCGTAGAATAGAGGACACTTTATCCAACGCACATCAGTGAAATGGAAGAACGGTTGGCTAGTGCCGGTATGCAATCACATGATGCTTCAAATTATTGCATAATATACAGGTGTATAAAAAAAGGGTAATCGAACTTCAGCGCGCTATTGTACGTGAATTACTCGGCGTATGAACAACGTTTTTTCATATTCGGAAAGATCTTGCTTTTAGCTATTGAATGACATGTTTTTCATGCCAAGTGGAGAAAAAATAAGCAAATACGAGTCCGATGAAAAATGTTAGTCAGAATCGCATATTTTCACCTCTGTGCCTAATTAAAGCAGTGCATAAAAGAAAAAGCAATTAATCACGAACTTGTCGTAGCTTAGCTAAGATTTATTCCTACTTAATAATAATTATGAATATTTGCGTGGTGAAATTCATCAACTTAAGTACCAAAGAGGGTTCAATGGTTTTAGACCCAACTCTCAACGGTGAAAATATGCGATTCTGACTAACATTTTTTATCGGATTCGCATTTGCTCATTTTTTATCCATTTGCTATGAAGAACGTATCATTCGACAGATAAAAGACTGATCTTTCCGAATATGCAGAGTAATTCAGATACAATAGCGTGCTGAAGTTCGATGACCTTTTTTTATACACCCTGTATAGTGTTGGTGCCATGCAGATCTGCATATTCATTCATTGAGCAGTGAAGTTATGAACAACAACTATAGATGGCACTCACTGATCTTCCCCCCATGAACAATAATATCATCTAATTAGAACTAACCAAATCATGAACAATAATCTAATCTAATTAGAACTAACCAATCAAAAGAGAGATTAATTTATAGACCAAGATATGTTCTGTCCTAAAAATAGAAAACACGAATTAGTAAATTCACAAGCTTCAATGGGATTATGGGGACAAATTCACATTTTACCAAGGTGAAAATATGAATTTATTCCTGGAATCTAGCCCGGGTCAAACAGGTGAAAACACCGAAAAGCAAGCGTCATAACATCAATTCACTTAAGCATACCAAATTATTACTAATGATCAAAAGTGACTAAATTTTTAGCACCTCTTAAGACCTTTCACTTGCACTGGAACGCAGCCTCGGATCGGTCTGTGCATAGATACGAACAGCACAGTAATTTATTTGCTTTTACATTCACACATCACTGAAGAGAGATGAGTCTATCTATTGGTCGAGTGTCGAGTGTCGAGGGTAAAAAGTCGAGGGCGAGAGTAAAAAGTCGAGGGTGAGGGTAAAAAGTCGAGGGTGAGGGTGAAAAGTCGAGGGTAAAAGTCGAGGGTAAAAGTCGAGGGTAAAAAGTCGAGGGTAAAAAGTCGAGGGTAAAGAAGTCACAAAAAAATACAAATTCAATATTGAGATCAGGTAACCGCTTCAGATATTAAGGCCATATAGCGACGTCTACGTGTCTTCTCGGCAGTATTGTTATATAATATGCGTTCTACGCATACACGTTGGGTGATGTTTTCGCCTTTATTGGCAGATCAGGTTTTGACATATCCGACATGCCGCAATCCACTGGCTCGAATAAACATATTTGGCGGATATCACGCCTCATATATCCTAAGTCCTTACTTGCATCTTGCATTCTGCCCTCTTGGCTTGAAATTTATTTGATCGATATTTCGCTTTCAATTTCGCTGAAAATGTCTTCAGACAAATTATATTCCGATGTTGTATGGTCAGGAAGTTCTGATGAGGATGTAGCCTCTCCTATAATTACAGGTGTTTGAAAAAAGGTTTTCCGCTTCAAAAATCTCAAACCTTAAACTCTGAAAATGAGCGCGCAAGGTGTACTAGGGCTATTTTCCCAATCAAAAGCCCTAAAAAGAAGTTACTCATCACTCTTTGCGCGCTTAGAGTTTAAGGTTTGAGATTTTCGAAGGACAACCTTTTTTGAATTAGCAGTTAGCTGTACTTATAATTAGTCATTGACATTGTCGATGCTGTTTCTGCTCATGTTAGTTAGTTAAATAAATAGCATTCATTAAATTGACCAAGTTTGCTTGTGGACACATTACAATGCATATGGTATAAAATCGAGACCGGCAATGCTGTTTCGTGTGCACTCAAGAAAATTTGGAAAGCGTTAAAATTGGAGGCCTGCAATTATTTTGAACGCGGGATTGTTTATAAAGAGTTCTGTCTAGCTATCTTAAAATTTAACGGTAGGTATACTCGGAGATTTACGCCTGTGTATCAACTCATCTGCTTTGCGGAATAATAATTTAGCCGATTAAGCGCATGTACAGTATACTACAAAGAACCTTGTATGTAGACTATATCAAGTTGTTTATTGCCGGTTGAAGCTGGGCGCTTTTTTATTAAAGAGCACTGCTTAGTATGTAATATACTGTAGTTTGTGTAGAAAATAAACAATATATAACTGATTGTCTTGCTGTCTGCACGGCTGCATGCAAATGCATCAAGACGCAAAGCATATTGGCATATTGGTACATTCAAAACGCAGAATACGCCACGTGTCGTATATAGTATATGTGCGTGGAACGCATATTATAGGTTTGATTATATTTGGTTTAGAAGTGTTCATATAAACAATACTGCCGAGAAGACACGTAAACGTCGTTATGGCCTTATCCAAAACGGTTACCTGACCTCATTATTGAATTTGTATTTTTTTGTTACTTTTTTACCCTCGACTTTTTTACCCTCGACTTTTTACCCTCGACTTTTTACTCTCGACTTTTTACCCTCGACTTTTTACCCTCGCCCTCGACTTTTTACTCTCGCCCTCGACATTTAACTCTCGACACTCGACACTCGACCAATAGATAAACTCAAGAGAGATATTGGTAGGTTTGGCTATTCAAGCACCTGTAGTATCAAAGTACTTTAACCATTTCCGAGTTGGTGCCATTTGTCTGCACTTTGACAGAGCATTGAAGCGATAAAACACCGTAGAATAGAGGCCACTTTATCCAACGCACATCAGTGAAATGGAAGAACGGTTGGCTAGTTTATGCAATCACATGATGCCTCAAATTATTGCATAATGTACAGGGCGTATAAAAAAAAGTTAATCGAACTTCAGCGCGCTATTGTACGTGAATTACTCGGCGTATGAACAACGTTTTTTCATATTCGGAAAGATCTTGCTTTTAGCTATTGAATGACATGTTTTTCATGCCAAGTGGAGAAAAAATAAGCAAATACGAGTCCGATGAAAAATGTTAGTCAGAATCGCATATTTTCACCTCTGTGCCTAATTAAAGCAGCGCATAAAAGAAAAAGCAATTAATCACGAACTTGTCGTAGCTTAGCTAAGATTTATTCCTACTTAATAATAATTATGAATATTTGCGTGGTGAAATTCATCAACTTAAATACCAAAGAGGGTTCAATGGTTTTAGACCCAACTCTCAACGTTGAAAATATGCGATTCTGACTAACATTTTTTATCGGATTCGCATTTGCTCATTTTTTATCCATTTGCTATGAAGAACGTATCATTCGATAGATAAAAGACTGATCTTTCCAAATATGCAGAGTAATTCAGATACAATAGCGTGCTGAAGTTCGATGACCTTTTTTTATACACCCTGTATAGTGTTGGTGCCATGCAGATCTGCATATTCATTCATTGAGCAGTGAAGTTATGAACAACAACTATACAGGGTGTCTAAAAAAAAACCAAAATCATTGAAATAACGTATTGTTCGAATTTCAATGCCGTAACACAAAGGATTTTGACAGGGTGATTAAATTAATTTGTTTTAAAAAATTAAAATATCTTTGTAAAGTGAACGTTTGTTTGCTCATGGGAATTTAAAAATGCTTCGTAAATTGTAATATGCGTAATATGCATTCGTGGGTTTAGTACTTATGCCTGACATAACAAGTTTACGCTGAGTATTACCATTCATTATAGCAGTTATGTCAATCTTTTATGCACTCGTGGGATTAACTTAGTGCTAGGGCATTGAATATCGAACAATACGTCAATTTCAATGATTTTGGGTTTTTTTGAGACACCCTGTAGATGGCACTCACTAATCTTCCCCCCATGAACAATAATATAATCTAATTAGAACTAACCAAATCATGAACAATAATAAAATCTAATTAGAACTAACCAATCAAAAGAGAGATTAATTTATAGACCAATCAAGTGAAAAGCCGAATTTCGGCTTTATTTTAAATGCAGCCAGACAGAGATTTGTGTCAGGTCCTGTTTCCCTTCTTGTGCACCCGCATTTAAGAAAAAGAAAACAAGTGAGAGTTAAAGCCCGAGTATCGAGGCTGTTAGCCAGATACAGCCTGAGGGTGAAGCCCGAAGGCTGTATTTGGCTAACAGCCGAGGTTCTAGGGCTTTAACTGACTTATTTCATGATTGAGGAGGTTTTCTCAAAAGAATAATTTAAGATATAATTTCTATAGAAATTGTTGTTACATTTAGCTATATTTGAAATTGAGGCCACG